TTCACACAGCCCCTCGGGGGGTTGGGGAAGGGCTGCGTGGGGAGAGGGACATTCCAAGGGATGAAAACCAGCCTGTCGCTGTGGCAAGGCTCTCACTGAGCTCGCCAGGGCACACTTTCCCCCCCAAGCACATAAAATGCTTCCCCTGGGTACCAGCTATGCCCTGAGGCTGAAACATCCTTGATGTGTCCATGGACCCTTTTCGTTGCAATGGTTCTGTCCCAAGGCTTTCTTCTTTGGCAACAGCCTCTCCCTCTGTTTCCCTGCCGTTGGGTGGCTGTTAAGCTTGGGGTCCCACGGGTAGGGGTCAACATGGGCTTAACTTCCAGCATCAACATCTCGGCTCTCGCCTTGAACCAAAACTGCCCCTGTGGTCCCCTTGGCTGGAGGTGACAGCTGATGGTTTTTCTCCCTGCTCAGACCTCCGTGGGCTGTGGATTTACAAGCTGCAGAGCCGTGTGGCTGTCAACTACCGGGTGAAGTGCCTGGCGTGGATGGGGAGGCAGCAGGAGCCATGGGCATGGAGCCAGGACCTGCCCGCCTGCCCCTGCTCCCTGCAGCAAGGGCAGCAAGACCCACGCTTCAAGAGCAGCCGCGCAGGCAAGTGGACACATCGCTTCCCCACCCTCCTTGTCCCTGACCTGTCCCTGCCCACCTCCCCTGCAAGGGTGGTTGGGATCTCCTCTGGCTGGGTGGGCAAGGGACCTCAAGGAAATTGGGGTGGGGGGCTGCCCTTCCCTGCAGAGACAGGGAAAATGAGGAGGAATGAGGGCTGACCTGTCCCTGTCTTGTTAGACTGGCTGGAGCTGGTCTGAGCTGCATGGGAACAGCAGGGATGGACCCTCCCCAGCACCGGGATCTCTGCCTAGGGGACCACTTGGATGGTCTCCATCAGTCCCTCCAAACCCCCATAGCACTGTGGGTGATGCGGTGGGAGTGATGGATAACAAGGAGCCAGCCCCGGCCCTGCTCCTTGCCCTGAGGCAGGGATGCTGGCCGAGGAGAGCAGCATGGAGGCTCACTGCCACCCTGTTGCAGGCTGGTGGTCTGCCCGTGTCTCCATGCTGCACTCCGCGTCCCCCAACCAGCACGGTGCCGGCATCCGCTGCCTGTACGACAGCCAGAGCCAGCTCATCGAGGGGCGGAAGGAGAGGTACTGGAGGTCCTCCAGGCAGGCATCCCCATACCGTGGTAAGCACAGCCAGCCCTGGCATCCCTCGACTGAGGTTGGCATCGCTGTAGCCTGTAAATCATTTTAACCTCTGTGCCAACCTGTTGCCTGACATGCTGTTGCCCTCGAAGGGAGCGTGGACCTGCCAAAAGCTGAGGCGAGCGCCCTGCCTGCCAGGAGCCAGCGCGTCTCCCTCTCCTCTCCCCTTCAGCCCCTTACTCTCCTTTTTGCATCCAGACCAGGAGCTGAAGTTGTACGACTGGTGCTGTAACCAGGCGGGCAGCGCCCGCCTCTGTGCCCGCTACAGTGAGAAGAGACCGAAGATTGGCTGTGATGGATACCAGTCACCCAGCACGGGTGGGTTTGCAGCCCGTGTGTGCCAGGGCCATGCCATCTTGGTGCCCAGGACTGGGGAGGGGAACATCCCAGGCACTCTGGTTAAGGCAGCAAGAGCCCTGGGCAGATGAGGGATGGGTTTTGGCGTGCCCACGTGCAGGTTGTGCTGTGCCCTGGGCTGTGCAGGGTTGTGGGGGGCATCTCCCTTAGCACATAACCGCCAGCGTAGTCTAGGGGTGACAGCACCAGGAGGGGAGGAGGACCACAGCTAACGTGGTTATTGGTGTAAGCTGATGTGGGGCTTTCTTGCAATCCCCAGCAGGTTCCTCGGAGGAGGCAGCGAGCGACTCGGAGGATCAGCAAGGTGAGTGGGATCGGGGGTCTTCCCTCTGCGGGCCACTTCCCTCTGTCCCTGTCCCCACTATATGGAGACTCCCCCAGGGCTAACAGCTCGCCCCAGGCCTGCAGGGAGGAGGTGGCTGGGCAATTCTCATTTCTTCTTCTTTGCAGATGGAGAGGATGAGTAACTGGGAGGTTGCACACCCGCAGCATGGTCTGGGCCACAGCTGATCCTCCGAGTCCTTTGCTCATGCTCATCCCTTATGTCCCCCCACTCCCCCCAGCACCCATCACCCCTGCCCACCACTCAGGGCAGCTCACTTGGACAGTGTCTGCGGTTGCCTTCACTGGCACAGGTTCATGTTTCTAACCAGACTTGTCCCAAGGAGTCAGTTGCTTTAGTCACCCTTCCCCAGCTGCAGCTGAGCAGGTGCCCATGGGCACGTCCTTGCTGGTGGGGAGGTGGGCAGGTGCTCCCCACCACACACACCACTGCCTGTCCTCCCTGCATCCCACCGGGCCTCCCATGCTGCAGGGTGAGGTTGGAACCCTAGCACCCAGGGAAAGGGTTTTTGAACCTCGTGTGGGTTGACTGTGGCCGAGCCCCTGAGTGCCATGGTGCGCCAGGCTCGCCCCACGAGCTGGTCCTGTCTTGTCCCCCTCTTCTGTCCCCCAGCCATCCCTCCCCAGGTGGTCCCCGTGCCCTACGCCCAGGAGAAGGGGTGATTCTCCTGATCAAGCCAAAGTCAGCTTAACACCTCTGCTGGGTGTGCAAGGGCAAAGTGCAACCCCATGATCACAAACACTGGCAGAAAAAGAATTTTTTTGTGCATAAGACAGCATCTGCCATTCTTAAAAAAAAATCATTGTCAAATGTTGTTTGTTCAATAAAGCCTCCGAGGGGTCTGAGCATCACTGATCCTGCAGCAGTCGTGCTGAACCAGGGCGGGGGGTGGTGGTGGAGGCAGCTTGGAGCAGCTGGATTGCAGGGTGCTTCTGCCCTCAGAGTTGGTGCTGGGGATGTGAGTGCCTGGGCTGTGTCCAAGCCAGGCTTTAGGGCAGTGGGGCTGGAGTTGGGGTCTGCCAGGGTCCGGTACACCCTCCTTGGGCACAGCGTCTTCCCTCACCAGGGGCAAAGAGCTGCGGAGTGTTTGTGGGGGTCACAGCTCGAACTGTGTGATCTGAGCCACTCTGAGCAGTGCCTGGGGAGAGCAGTGAGGGGAAACTTGCAGCTTTGCAGGCTGAGTGAGGGGATAGAGTGACAAAAAGCGCCACATCCATCTTCTCTTTGGTCCTGTGGATGGGACCAGCAGAAAGCAGGGACTCAAGAGCTCAGTGACAGGGAAGCAGGGCTGGCGCATGGGTACCATGGATGTGCAAGTAACTTACTCAGCAGCATGCCATCAGTTTTGGTTTATTCTATTTTGTTCCTAATGGGTTACAATTGCTGCACTGCCGCACCTGACTGTGCTATCAGCAGCTCTGCTAGATCCACTTACATTGCGTTAGAGCAAACTCCGGTGCAGACACACTCAAGGACTATCCTGGTTGCCTCTGCAGGTCCTCAGGGGAAGGTGAAATCCTCTTGCTTTGGTCACCCAACATAAACCCACATTTTTTCATTCAAAAAAAAGCACCTTCTCCAGAGTGAATCCTCCCACAAAGACCAGATCCCAAAAGGCAGCTGCCTGTCCTCTGCCTCCACGTGGGCATCATTGCTGGAGACCCCAAGAGCAGGCGGTTGGGCCGGTGGCAGCAGCTGACTCCTCTGCAAGCCCAGAGGCACCGGGGCAGGACCGGTGGCAAGCTAGGGCTGCTGGGGGGGCTGGCTCGGAGGCCAGACGTGGGGTCTCTGGATCCTTATCTGTAAAGGAGGGACAGGCCACACCGTGCTGTCGGTGCTGCACGGGCTCTGCTCCTCGCGACGAGCTCAGACAGAAGCAGAGACCCCAACACCAGTCCAAGCATCCATGATGCTCTGGGACAAGGACCACCTCTGGAGTATCTTTGAGGCACAGGGCCAGGACATCAGTTCCCAGCCCACAGACCCCACCGTTACCCCCCCATGGAGACAATAAACCCTGGGCAGACCTGGACTGAGGGGTCAATGGCCTGGAGCTGCAGTTCCCAATGCCTTTCCAGGGAGTGGGAGCGGGTGGGCTCTGCTCGCTCTCCTGCTGTCATCAGAGCTGGAGCGGGAAAGATGAGCAGAGTTTGAGGAAGACTGGAGTGAAGCAGCGCTGGGGTGAGGTAGGGGTTTGCAGGGATGTACTCACAGGAGAAGGGCTGTGGCCTCCAGAAGGTCTCCTTGGCCCTGGGAGGGGGGAGCAGAAAGGGGACAATATGTCAGGGGGGGCTGCGAGAGCTCTTGCCTGGTCCTGGCACCAGTGTCGAATGGCAGAGGGGAGCAGTGACTGAGTGTGGGGGCAAGATGGGGCTATGAGAGGAGGAAAAGCCTCAGTTGCTGTGCACACACAATTTCTCGCTTTGCCACAAGTGCAAATGAACAAGAGGTGCTTCCCAGAGAGCCCTGGCTCCCGGGCCGGCAGGGAGCTGGCAGCAGGGGCAGGACCCAGCTCTGACCGACGTGGGGGTCTTGGGGTGCTGAACTTCCCCCCAGCATGGATGCCATGCCAGGACCAAGGCCTGGGGAGGAGGGAAGGAGATGTTTGCACTTCCACCCCAGCCTTGCACCTTGTCAGCCATCTGCTAACTCCCTGCTCTGCAGCAGAACAAGGTCCAATCCTGCAATCACCTTTTTCTTGTTCCAGACCAACGTGAATTGCAGTGGAAATCATTTGGATGGTATTAAAATTAAAATCAAATAGAAAGCCTGTTTGTAACCAAGCATTGGGTGGGGTGAAAAAGAAATGCAAATATTCCCTGACATGGGGGAGAAAGGGAAGCTAATGATCCACCCATTGATGTTACCGCACCCCTGAGCAGCAGATGACTTGGAAAGGGGTTCGAAGCTGCTAAAAGATCACCCAGCTCAGCCCCTTCCCCAGGGCAGGCTCCCCCTGCCCAGGCCAGATGAGTCCCACCATGGTGGATCTTCCAGAGACAAATTTTCCACTACTGTTTCTTCCTGACACCCAACCTTCTTCCCTGCCGCACCCACAGCACCCACCCCTGCATGGCTCCAGCCCATGGCTCACCCCCCGTGCTGGCGGCGGTGCCGGCGGCAGAGGTGCAAGACCAGGCAGGTGGTGGTGAGCAGGAGGCAGAGCAGAGCCAGGGCTCCCAGCAAGATGCCGAGGAAGGCGGCGAGGCTGATGGCCAGTTGCTCACACTGGGCGCCGGTGGGGAAGAAGATGGAGAAGGGGAGGCAGCTGTGGATAGGGAGGGAGGAGCAGTGATGCTGTGGGGAGAAGTGCCAAGTGGCCTTGTCTGTCCCCGAGCGCTGCTGCTACCTGCATGTGGGCCCCTCGGGCAGGTGCTGGCACCGGCCGCCATGCAGGCAGTAGCCCGTCTTGCAAGGGGAGATGCAGATGAAGCCGACGGTCCCCGTGTAGTGGAGATGGTAGCCTTTGTAGCCATACAGATCGCAGGGGAAATAGTACCTCAGCTCAGCCACTGTCACTGGGAAGGGAAGGCACGGGTTTGGCCATGCAGCAATATCACCCCTTGATGCTTCTCTAGGTCTCCCTGAGCTGGATCCATGCCTGGGGTTGGGACTGCCACCCACTCACCTGTCCCACGGGCGCTACCCAAACCCCAGGGCATACAGGGTGGTGGGGACAACGGGGACAGTGGGGTGCTCCTCCTGGGCTCCCCAGCTCTGGGCTAGGAGCAACTCACGCTTCACCAGGTCGGTGACGTTGTCCCGGTGCAGGTGCTGGAAGAGGAGGTGTGTGCCCACCTCCCGCCGCTCCCGCTGCCCGTTGAAGGCGCTGGTGATGGCCCCCAGCAGCTCCTCGTTCAGGAACCG